GAGTGTACATTGTGGATACTATGTATGTTCTATGATGAGTAACACCAGTGCCTACAGGAGACACCCCTTAAGTGTAAGTTTGAACCTCTTCACCCATAGTATAAAAACTTCGTACATGGTATGAAATACTAAACCGAAACTTGTTCTCTTGTAGTGGAAAGAAGAGAAAGAAATAAAAAGAGACCCATACAAGGATGACCAACTCTTAGAGCTCGTCGGTGACCTTTGCAACTTTATATTGGACCAGATTGTACACATCAAAGGCACCTACCATGACCAAGAGTCTGACTTAGGTAGAAATCCTCAGTACCAACACCTTCGTGAGACTGAAATGCTAGCTCTAGGACGTTGATAACAATGTGCATGGAATTTGACATTGGTTTTACCTTGTGAATTATGTCTATTTAATGATGGATTGTATATATTCTTGTGAATTGGACTTGTAATTATAGTTTATATAATACTCTTGTGCTTGTAGTTTATATAACACTCTTGTGCTTATAGTTTATATAATACTCTTGTGGTTTGTAGCGTTGGTCGCGGAAATGCTCGGTGGGATTATCTCGCTTCCTCACTCACTTTCAACGCTGAACGCCTTTGGATGGAATACGCGAAACAAAGCAGTGTTATGGTTAATTTGAAATGTAAATTTTGAATTTTTTTTACGGAAAATGTCTTTGTAAGGGCGGTTCTAGACTGAACCGCCCTACAATAGGTATTATAAGGGGCATGGTACAGCAGTAGCCCTAAATCGATTTGTAGGGGCTGTGCAGAACCACACCTACAAATACATGATTTGTAGAGAGCAGTTTGGTAGGGCGGTGGCCAAACCGCTTCTACAAATGGTCTTGATCCGCCCTATAAACCCTTTATGTAGTAGTGAATTACACTTTGACCGCTCATTTATTTTATGTTATATTGTTTATGATTATAAACTTATAATTATTGGATAGTGCATTTGAGTATATATAAATCTAATATAATTATAGTACTCCCTCTGTCTACAAATGCACTATCCAATAGTAGCTACTCCCTCTGTCTACAAAAGCATACAATTCAGTATAGTACCAAGGTAAAGTATCTTGAGTTTAACTAACTATAAATAAAAAATATCTATATTTATAACATTAAATAAGTATCATTATACTTGTCATGAGATATATTTTTGCACTATACTTATTTAGTGTCACAAATATTAATATTTTAACTTATATACACCACTACGTAAATGTTAACCATGGCGGGCAAAAAAGAATTAACCGAGGCGGTTTTTGCAAACAGCCTCGGACGAAAAAGGTCATGGTAATGGGGACATTTTCCGAGGTGGTTCGATGCCCACCTCGGTAAATAAAAAAAAAAAGACCGAGATCCAGCCCCTAACGGGCCTCGGATTCGGCGGCCGTCTCCCGCCGCTCAGCGTCTGCGTCAGCGTCCATAAGCTCACAGACGCCCGGTAGCCGCCAGCGTCCACACCCACATCGCCACCATGCAGACCGCCACGCCACAGAGATCACTGCGGTATGGTGGTGACCTCAGGCCGCGCCGCCGTGGATGGGGGGCCGCCAAAGACTGGATCTGCGCGCCCCACCCACGATCTGCGTCGCCCGCTTCGATTCGCGCCACCCAGCAAGGCCGTAGGTGGAGAGCTTGAGGAGCAGCCGGCCGCCACCGGGAAGGAGCTAGCGCCTGCCGGTGGAGGAGCGCACCGCCGGAGAGAGCCGCCTCAGCCCAGGCCCGTGCTCTTGCGCCGCCTTCTTATTAAAGGCCGCCTCACGAGGCCGCACCACCAGCTCCTTGATCCATATCCACTGTTGGTGAGGAGAGGCGAGGAAGGCATGGGAGAGTGTGGGAGAGAGAGAGAGGAGGGGACCTTCAGGAGGGCAGGGGCAGTGGGGTGTGGAGAGGGAGGCAAGGCATGTGAGAGGATGGGGCACTTTCGTTGCCGAGTGAGGGAGGTGAGTGAACCCTAACTCCCCTATTCCTGTATATATATAAACCCGATAGTTGATTGGATATGGGCTTTTGTTGGGCCTCGGGAATATTAACGGGCGGACCCACCTCCAGTAAATAGAGAGTATTTTGGAGGCGGGCCTCTTATAAAGCCCGCCTCGCTAATAGATTTTAGGTGGCGGTTTATTTTTAACCGCCTTGGTAAATCTATATTTTGCGAGGCAATTGATCGTGACCGCCTCGGTTAATAAAAAATGACCGCCTCGGTTAATCCTAGGCATTAACCGAGGTGGTTTCAAAGTCCGCCCACCTCCGAGGCCAATTTCAAAACGTCTCGCAAAATATTTTGTGTAGTAGTGATATTTGGTTAAGGCTTAAACGTATGAAACAAGAATGGACCTAGATTTGTAATCTTTTGTGGATAGATGTAGTATTAACACCGTGATATGGACATTATCTCCTGTGCAAGCAAAGATTGATTGCAAATAGTAATACATTTACGAAAGTTCCTAAAAAATACACTTGAAAATACTACTCTCACCCAAAGAAGCGGTACTTATTGACCTTGACCCGGGTTGGGTGTTTGAAGTCGATAGCAACATCATCGTAAGAAGATAAGAGACAAACACCGCTTAATATTGACACCTCTATATATATGTTCACATCAGCCACTATGCAAAAAGCCACATATCCACCACGCCTCCTCTGAGACGCCGTGGACAAACGCTGCTAGCGTAGATATGAGTTTTCTGACGCTGCGTTCTAAACACACATCATCAGATTAAGTCGCCAACCGGGGTTATCTAAGTCCATGGATCAACACACGTCTGTAATAAACGTCTACTACAGTACGCGTGTTTGAAAAGCGTGTCTCTAATTAATGAGTCGCATTCGTGGTATATGAATAAGGCGCTACTGGTGTTAGAGGTATTTTACAAGAGACGTGCCTGGCCAACGCTGGCCACACGCAGAGAGTTCCCAACCCAAAATATTATCAAATCCTGTGGACTTGGAACTCAGTCCGTGTCCGACTCCCCATTGATCTATCCCTCGCACCTCTCCTCTCTTCCTCCGACGCCACCGCCCCGAGCCCCGACCATCTCCCGTCGCCTCCCCCTCATCTCTTCCACCGTCGCGGCGGCCACCCCCTCCTCCACGGTGAGGTCACCACACCCCTCCTCCACTACAACTCCTCCTCCCTTCCCTCGGAAGAGGCGGTGGCTCCCCATGCAAGACTAGATGGCGGGCGCCTCCAGACAGAGCAGGGCGTGGTGCCCCTCTCCTTCAGATCCAACGGCGACGCCTCCCTCCACCCCACATCTGGGTCAGGGCTGCCTGCCCTCCAACTGACATCGACTCCCCTCCTCCCAGATCAAGGCACACTGGTCTTCGCGGGCCTCGACATTCGCCATGACGAGCACCCATCAGTATGCGCCCACCCCTTTGTTTCCCTTGAAACCGAGCACCCAAAACCCTAGCTAACGAATCTATTTGGGTTTTTGTGCTCGGTTTAGGATTCGATTGGGGGTGGATCGATAGATCAATGTGCGTGAGCTGCGGTTGCTCAAACCTAGTTCATGTTTAATTAACCTGTCACATGTGAGCTATTTTTAGAATTAAAAGCATGCTCCTGTTGTTACAATCTCCTATATTTTTAGAGCTCATACATGGTGTAGATGTTTGAAAATACTTTAATTTCTAAACCGATACATTTTCGGTTATGAAGTACAACAATTATTGTCTAGTAATAGTTATTTCTCAATCTATCTTGGGTTAGCGTTTCACATTACTTAATTTTCTGTTCACGAAATGCTATGTATGTATAGTCATTTCCATTGTCACAAGTATAAACCTGTGAATATAAAAGATCGTTACTGAATCTGTACTACGCATCTATTTTAGTCCACAAATTTTTTTAGACATCTTTCTCATATAAGAAAAACTTGCCCATTCTACCATGTTAGCTTTCTCGTTATTGCATTCATGTGACATACCACTCAAGATTACTCAACATCAATAATATAGATGAACCCGGGTACTAGACATTATTGTGCCAATTGGCTACCTGTCTACCCCATTTCTACCCCATTTCTGGATAAATGTAGATAGTCTGCAGTGTAGTTAACTGCACTAGGCAAACAAGTTGGTTTCATGTTGGGGTATAACGCATTGATTCTGTGTAACTATAAGGCCAATGGCACTCTAGTTCACCGATGCTTTCATATTACCGTGCAGGGAAGTGACATCCCCCATGTAAGTTTCATTGTGAGGTATGCAGTGATTTGTATGTGTTGTGTGAATACTTGCGTCAATCTTAAAATTAGAAAAGTGCTGTTATTTTTAGCTATTTAAATTATGCGAACGTGAGCAAAATTCATATCTCTTATGTCACTCCTGTAATTATCTTGGTCTAGTGATAGCTCCAGTGTAGCCGGTAGAGTAGAATATGATACTGTAAGTGCAGCCATCTCTTTTTTTTCTCATCACTGTTTTGCCGAGTGCAGGGGAATCTGGCGATTTAACAATTGCTCTCTACTAGGATGGAGTGAAGGGAAGTGACATAATTGCGGTAGTAAGTGGCATCCCCCATATAAGTTCCAATGTGAGGCTGATGCTTATGGATCAAATAGTGGCCTTCAAAAAGCTCCTTGGACCAGCAAGATTACTTATACTTGCAGGAATCACGCCTTTCTATGCCTCCTAACGGCTTCTTGGCCTCATACTCTAAATACATGTAAGCTTCTTCTATTTTACCTA